GGGGTAATTGGAAGAGTTTTGATGTTTAGATGCCCCTAGGAGAAAATGAGTTGGGGAATATGGAACCAATAATGGATGTACTGGAAGTTGCTCCCATCCCACACCCAACAAAGCCCAGAAGGGGGTAGTTTCTCAACCCTCTTTAATTTCTTTAGAAAGGTGAATGATATTAGAACTTAGCCTACGATTCTAGTGGACCCTAACTAAACCAGGCAATATCTGAAAAAATAAATAAATAAACATAGGCCCACCACTGGTGTTAGGCATTAATATGCAATTTCTTGTTCTAAAGATTAAATTGTAGCATACCAGAAAATTTTAAATTTAATTTCAGCAAAGAACTTTTGAGATTTCCTAGGTGAGCCACATGATGGGCAGTGCTCCCTTTCAGTCTAGTGCATCTTCTTAGTATTGTTTGATGTAGTCGATATTTAAGAAGGTTCAATTGAACATAGAGGCTTATAACCAACCTCCGTCACACGAGGCATAGGCCGTGAGGCAAGCCAATTAAGTAATATACAGAAAAATAAAAGCACAAAAATTATAAAAAATCATGAAACATTCGAAGAATGCTGATGTAGGATGAATAAGAAAGAAAGAAGAAGGAGAAGGGAGGAGAAGAGAAGAAGGGGAACCGGGGGGGGGGGGGGGGGGGGGGAGGGGGAGGGAAGAAGGGGAACTGCGGGGGGAGGAGAACACAGAGACAGGGAGGAAGAAGAAGAGAGGAAAAACGGGGGTTGTAGCCGACTTTTTATTTAATCAATTCATCATCCCAATTACAATGTAAAATAGGTTTAAATACTGAAAATACTGCAAACCTAAAAAAAACCTGAAAGATAGGGCCAAGCCCATTACACAAATCCATAAAAATAAAATAACCCAAGTCCAACTAAAAAATAAAAGTCCACCTAAAATAATTAAATGTCGTCCAACTAAAGTAATAAAATTGGGATGTCCTCATCGATTCTCCTGGGGTGGGAGAGAAAACTCAACCCTGTCGAGTGGCTATATCACTATAGGCTTCTGTCAATCTCCCAACCATAAGCTGAGTGGTTGGGCAAGCATCTTCCGGCGTCTGTAGAAATGCGTCAGTAGCGATCTGAACTTGGTGTCCTCACCAACTCCCCTCGGGAGGACGGGAGGCGATCTAGGCCAATGAAAATCTTGCTGACTTCGATAAAATTCTAATAAATCTGGATCCAATTGTTGTAGTGTCTCCCTGGAGATCCATGCACAGTCACAATTTGGTCGACCAACCCAACGAACAAGGAAGCGCTGAGCCTTTCCATCATTAGAGAACACAGTTTCTTCATCTAAAATAGCATCAATTTTTTTTGTGTGCTATGAGAGATGGTAGTGGGTTAGAAGGGGCCAAAGAATCAGGATCAAGGTTCACAAAAGGAGATGACAGAGGATCATCTGAGGGAATGAAATGGCCTTTATAAGCTACAAGGTCCTCAACATTAAAAGTAGGGTGGTAACCAAGGTGTGGTGGAATGTAAACAATATATGCATTTGGACCGACCTGCTTTAAAATTTTAAAAGGACCAGCACTACGAGCTTGTAATTTGGAGGTGGGTCCATGTAGACGCCGCTCTGGCCTAATGCGAACCATAACGTAATCCCCAATGTTAAACTCAACATGTCATTTGTGCAAATCAGCGTGGAGTTTATATTTTGCATTACTAGCTTCAAGTTGTTTATTGATCTCAATATGCAAGTTACGAAGATATTGTTTAAATGCTTCGGCTGATACTGACACTCTAACCTGTGGGGACATAGGGATGAGATCTAACGGTTTCTTAGACTTGTACCCATGAACGGCTTCAAATGGACTCATACCTAATGAACGATTTATGGAGCTATTATACGCAATTTAAGCTACAGGAAGGATCAAATTCCAATTTCGAAGGTTTTCCCGGACCAGACAACGTAATAGGTTACCAAGACTTCGATTAACTATTTCAGTTTGACCGTCAGTCTGAGGGTGGTAAGCCTTAGAAAATTTCAATTTGGTACCCATCTTATGCCACAAAGTTCTCCAAAAATGGCTTGTGAAGCGAACGTCCCTATCAAACACGATGGTTTTGGGAAGCCCATACAATTTGACAATTTCATTACAGAATAACATGGCAACCTTGGACGCATCCGACGTCTTGCTACAGGGGATAAAATGAGGCATCTTTGAGAAGCGATCGACAACCACAAAAATAGAATCATGCTTCTTTGGGGTGCGTGGAAGTCCTAACACTAAATTAGACCTGTGTTCTGCTTCTTCTGCTTACTCAATTGACAAGTGTTATAAGTACTAACAATCTTAGCTACGTCTTTCTTCAAGTTAGGCCAATAGAATTGACGTTCAACTTCCTCTATGGTCTTATCACGTCCAAAATGACCGGTTAACCCTCCCGCATGAATTTCCCACACGATGAAATCTCGCACTGAAGTTCGAGGGATGCACAATTTATTGGCTCTAAAGAGATAACCCTCCTCAAGTCGGAAGCCATCTATGGCGCCTGATTGTCCCCTTTGTAAATTAAGAAAGATATCTTTAAAATCGGGACATGCCTCGTAATCCTCCTTAAATCTTTCAAAACCGATAACCTTACTCATGATCGACAAAAGGGAGACACGACGACTTAGTGCGTCAACTGCTTGGTTTTCCACGCCCTTCTTGTGTTTTAAAACAAATTAATAGGCCTGTAAGACCCAACGACCATGCCTAGAACTTAATCTTTTCTGGGAGTTGAGGTAACGGAGGGCCTCGTGATCCGAATAAAGGACAAATTCCTGGGGCAACAAATAGTGACGCCAATAGCGCAAAGTCTGAACCACCGCATATAGTTCCTTATCATAAGTTGAGTACCGCTGTTTGGCTTCATTTAACTTCTCACTGAAGTAGGCAACTGGGTGACGATCCTGACTCAAGACTCCGCCTATACCCACCCCGGAGGCATCACATTCAACTTCAAAGACTTTGGAAAAGTCGAGAAGGCGCATAACAGGAGCCTCCGTCATTCGCCTCTTGACTAACTTAAAGGCCTTAGCCGCCTCTTGTGTCCAACGAAACTCTCCTTTTTTCATGCACTCCGTGAGAGGCGCCATAATAGTGCTAAACCCCTTAATAAAACGACGGTAAAATGTAGCCAAGCCGTGAAAGCTTCTGACGTCATAAATAGCATTAGGCTCAGGCCAGTCAATAATCGCCTGAACCTTAGCAGGATCAGCAGATACTCCAGTCGAAGAGATAATGAAACCTAAAAAAACGACTGTATCGGTGAAGAAAGAGCACTTCTTGATGTTAGCATACAGATTAGTTGCACGAAGGGTAGAGCAGACCTGTGTCAGGTGGTCAAGATGTTGCTCCTTAGTCTTACTATAGATAAGGATATCATCAAAGTAGATAACAAGAAACTTTCCCATGAAAGGTCGGAGAGTTTGTGTCATTACCTGCATAAAGGTACTTGGCGCATTACTTAACCCAAAAGGCATGACCAGCCATTCATAAAGACCATCTTTCGTTTTAAACGCGGTCTTCCACTCATCACCTGGGCGAATTCGAATCTGATGGTATCCACTCTTCAGATCAATCTTTGAAAAGATTATGGCACCAACCATCATATCTAACATATCATCAAGTCTAGGAATGGGAAAACGATACTTCACCTTAATCCTATTGATCGCGCGACTATCCACACACATCCTCCAAGAGCCATCCTTTTTGGGTGTCAATAGGGCGGGGACAGCACACGGGCTTAAATTCTCACGAATGAATCCTTTGTGAAGGAGGTCATCTACTTGCCTTTGAAGTTCAGCGTGCTCGGTAGGATTCATCCTATAATGAGGCAAATTTGGGAGGGATGCCCCTGGGACGAAATCTATGGCATGTTGAATATCCCTTAGTGGAGGTAGATGATCATGTAGGTCCTCCGGAAAGACGTCTCGAAACTCTTGGAGGATCGACTGGACTTCAACAAGGCTCTCTCTTGTGGAGTGGGATGGAACTTCCATGACCACCAAAGCGAACACAACTAAGTCACCAACAAGTGTACGCTCAAACTCTGTAGGACTAATGATGTGCAATCCCTTTCGTTCCACACTTTTCTTCGTTTCCAGTGGGCCAACAGGCTTTGGGGGCAGTGGGTTAAAGTGAATCTTCTTTCCATTAAACACGAAGGAGCAGGAATTGGATCGACCATAGATGGTTACATCTAGGTCAAATAACCAAGGTCATCCCAAGATGATGTGCCCGAGAAACTGGATAGGGACTAAACAACGCGAGAAACTGGATAGGGACTAAACAACGCTCCTTGACAGCTATAGAGGAGGTAT